GACGCTTTCGGTCTTGGCGGGCGCGGAAGCCGGAGCAGCCTGCTTCTCCTTCCTCTCTTCCACTGCACCAGAGAGGGGAGAACAGAGCAGGACCGTCACTCCGGCCCCGAAGAACCACTCCAGGTACAGGATTTCCACCGGGATCCTCACCGCCAGGTCGGATTCCCGCAGGCCACGTAAACACGTTACTCGACGAGCGGTTTGGGGGATGGGAACAATCCCGGCTACCTCGGGACTTTCCCGGCTGGTGTCAGGAGACCAAAACCCCACGGCACCGAGGCGCAGCCCCAGGAGGGCTCTGTGCACCCGCCCCACCCCAAACGGGGCCCCGAAAGGGCCGTTTCGCCTCGATGCCATTTCCACGCGACAATTCCTCCGCTGCCCCCCGCAGAACGTACCGATAATTTTAGACGTGTCATCCTCCACGTCAGAGAGCTCCATGTCCTCCACGTCCCGATTATCCGTCACAGGCTCCGGAGACGCCGTCTTGCGGCTTCCGACCACCGGAGAGCGGGAGCTATCCTCCTCCCCCATCCCCTGGAAAGGGGACTCGGAGCCCGTCGGAGACGGGGCGTCCATGCTGGGGGAAGGGACAGGAGACTCCTCCGGATCAGGAAGCGTTGCTTTCAACTGGTCTAGCTTTTTCTTTAGATTGCTCACTCGATTAGCGAACGTTTTATAAGCCTAGGGAAGAAAAGGACGTCGGGCTGAGCGCCTCTGACAGGCAGGGGGCACGCCTCGGGCGCTCCCCTAACGAAGCAGCACGCAGCCTGGGAAAACCATTTCCAACTACCCGGGAGAACCCTGCAGTAAGAACTCAGCTTTTCAGCGGGACCTGCGGAGCAACGGCCACCAAAAATGGGAAAGGCAAAACCTTTTCCCAGTGACTTGGAACAATTTTCATTAAAAAAAAAATAAAAATCCACGTTTTCTAACAAATATGCTTCCTATTTGGTTTTTTTTTTGGGGGGGGGAGGGTTCGAGGAGGGGGGGTTGGTTGTTTTTACAACGCTTTACTGAATTCTTCCTTTGCCCATTTAGGTCACATGTTGAACGCAACCTTGTGCAGTTCCCAGAATTTAGGATTTGTGGGACTAATTGTAATTCTGGCCCCGTTTACAAACCCCCCAGAGGGGCTCCACCGCTCCAGCAACGTACAAGAACCAAGCTTCCGACCCACGGGTTTTTGTGGCGTCTCCTTTCCTCGCCCGCCAACCTCGCCTCTGCTCCCTTTTGAAACCATTTCGACAACAAATCACCCCAAACTTCTTCATTTGTGAGCAGAGGTGATGCCCCTTTCCAGCCCCCGAGGCGCTCAGCGAACGCAGGCGGCCGTCGGTCCGCCCGAGGCAACGCGCACTTACGTTTGCCACCACCTTGACCTCCTTGTACTGCGCTTCGTAAAAGATACCGGCGTTCTCCAGGGCTTCGGTGAGAGAGGGGCCGTTCTTCACTTGCTTGTCTAAGCCATTTACAAACTCTTCCAGCTTTGAACTGGCTTCCTCAAACTCCTTGGAGAACTTCTTTCCTCCTGTTTTGTCTGCAAGGAGATTAAAAACAGTCCATCAGCTGCCAAACGGGAAACCAGCTCCGAGCGGTGCCCGGGAGGTTCAGGCTGCGCCGCACGCTCCTCAGACCGTCCCGGTCACCCCTCGGGGTCCACTGAACCAAGAGGGCCAGTCGCTACCAGCCCGTATCGGCTTGCAACGACTTATTAGTGACGGACACACTCACGTGTAGATTTTTACTCTCTCAGCTACCCAGAGAGCGTTTTGGAAGAGGCAAAACCCTCGAGTTTTATTTTTCCTCTGTGACCCCATCCCAAGGGTTCCCGCCACCATCGGGGCTCCAACACCTACGAGTTACCCCGACTGTAAACGACCCTTTCCAAAGACTGCCGTCCCGGATTACCGGGCCCAGCTAGAGCTCGCTGCAGCTTTACAATTAAATTTCCTCTTCATATGGCTCAACCTAACTCAGTTAATTCGCCCCTCACGTGGGCTGCTGGCCGTCGGCCTCGCCGCTGGCATTCCCAAACCGTGGCCACTGACCGACGCCTGAATTAACTCAAATCTGAAATTCTTTAAGGGGTTCCGAATCAAGAGCAACGCGCGTCTGAACGGCACAGGAGGGCGTGTACGAACGGTACGGAATCCACCGCTTCTGCTTGCTTTGAGCTCTGCACCTGCGGGGTTTCTACGAACAGGCTCAACTGGACCAAGGTTTCGGGCTCCTGCTTGGTGGTTCTTAACTGCCCCCTGAAATTGTGGCATTTCACAGACACAGTCCGATTTCTGGCCCAAGGCTCAACCGAGGAGCTCCCACAACCGCGTCTGCGCCTCCTTCGGTGACGGCGAGCTCTGCACGCCAGGCGCCGCCTTTACCTTTCAGGCATTTCAGCGTCTCCGTGCTGCACACATCCACTCGCATCGTGGAAAGCTGCTTCTCTTTCAGCTCTATCTGGTCTTCCGAGCGCTTGTATAACAGCAATTCATCGATGAGAGACTGTGGCTGGGGGGGGGGAATCCAACAAGAAAAGCCTCCTCATCACATTCCGCGGCAGAGCGGCGCAGAGCTGCCGGCCAGAACTGCCCCCGACACCCACAACGCTCCAGTTCGACCGTTTCGGAACGGACAGCTCGCGCAGAACCGAACCGTGCGGGTCGCTGGGCTTTTCACCTCCAGCCAAAGAGATCAGCGGGGGCTGCAATTCTACAGCTCCCCTGGCTACGAGGGCTAAAAGCAGGGACAGGCCTTTTTGAGGGTGGGTTTTTTTTTCCCCACCCTGCTATGCCCACACGTTTCGTTAACCCACCGCCCTCCTTCGGGGGACCCAATTTCAACCAGTGTCTTGCCACCAACTCCTCAGCCGCCCTGAACTCCTCCTTCACCAGACCGTACGCCCCGGCCAGCCCCTCCAAGGGTCGGACCCGTGGGTTTCACGCAGAAGGCAAACTGCCGTCCGGGCCGAGGTCACCCCAAATGAAAACCAGGAGAGCCCCCGCGCCGCTCCGAACGCCTGCCGGCTGCCTTGCCATCCCTGCCGGCGCACGGAAGGGGTGGCAGCCCTACCAAAACTCCCCACCGCGATGCCTGGCAGGCACTGCACGCCGAGGAACAAGAAGACCCGAGCACCAGAGCTTCCCATCAAGCTCGTGCTGGCGGGGGGCGCAAGCTACGGCCCGAGGACAGAGGTTAGCGCCACAGAGCATTCCCACGCGCAGACTTACTCTGAATTCGGCAACAATCTTGGACTTCAAAGCAGCTTTCGGGTTCGTGGATGCTGTTGGAATAAAGAAAAAGTATGAAGGAACCAAGGAACGACGCCCCGTCCAAAAGCAAGTCACAAAGGGCAGTTCTAATACCAAATATTTTAGCATACTTCAGCGAAAAGGCTCGCAGGCTGTCGTTACCCATCGCGTTTCCCCCTCCGCACAGATGTCCCTCAGCGCTCTGGCTTTCCGTTAGCTAATCGGGACACGGTCACGTGCGGCTGGACGGTGACTGAGGTCAACAAACTACGCTATCGCTTTTTATCTGCTATTTTTTTTTTTTTTTTTTTTTTAAACGAGCTATAAAAATCTACCGTGTCCAGCTCTGCCGTTGGGAAGCCAAGTCCCTGCCAGGGCTGATCTAACAGCCGCACCCGATGAGTTCACACCCCTCCGCAAGGCAGGTCAATGTGATCTCCTCAGGGCCGGGCTCAGAGCTGAACCACGCCGCCCGGCGTTTCCTTCGGACGGGGTCTCCCTCCGGTACTTACTAGGCCTAACCGTGCCCTCAGCCCCAAAACCCCTCAGGCCTCTAGCCTGCCGTCTCACTGACAGAGCGGGGGGAACAAACCCCACCGTCAGGAGACACTAAATCCACTGGTTTGTGGACAAAACAGGAGAAACACCTGGGAAGAAGCGACACGCTAAACCCTCGGCCCACGCCGACTAGAGCACAGCTCGGTTCGGGCAAGCAGCTCGCGATGCCAAGCCACGGAACGAACGCTTTCAAACTCTGGCGTGAACCTTCCGCTCTCGGCACCTGCCAGCGCGTCCCCTCTCCCCCCCACCGTCCCAGCACCCCGCGCCAGGGGCCGCTCGGGGCGCGAGCGCGCGCGGAGGCGAGCGCGAGCGGCACGCCACAGAGGCGCTTCCCGCCCGGCTGCTGGACGCCAGCGGCCCTTATCTGCGCTGCCAGCCGCCCGGCTGCCTCTCTCCTAGCCCCTAGTTTGCTGTCGAAGGCGCGTTCCCGAGCACGGAGGCGCTGTCCGCCGCCCGCCGCCAAAGCGCACGGCTCTGTCTGTCTTCTCTCCGTCTCTGAATAGTCTAACGCCCGTTGCCAAGCGGTTCCACCAGCTCTTTCCTCAACTGTCCATAACTCTGCTCTCATAAAGATTTTTTTTTTGTTTTTTTTGTTTTTTTTTTTCTCTCTTTCTTACTTCATTCCTTTAAAAAGTGGTTCTCTAGCAACAACTCCTTGGTGCTTTAGGTATTAGTCTGTACGGGGCTGTACAAGCCTGGAAGACGCATGCTGGCTCGTGTTTTAGTCCAGGTACTCGGCCCACTTTGGGCTAGCCTTTCTTCTGCTCCTCAAGAAGGCAATTTCTATATTAGTTCAGAGAGTTCACATTGTTTCCTTACTTTGCGATTTCTTCCACGGCTTATTCGGTTGTTTGTTCAGAGTTTCTTTCAGCTGCTTCTGAGTTTTGAAAGTGGTACCTGGAAAACATTTCATTTTTTGCAGTCTGGCATTATGGGACTCCTTTAAGAATCTGGGTTTGGTGCCATACGGTTGCATGGTAAAAAGAGTGAACAGAAATTTGTTTTAAAACACCTAGACCAACTTCCTTAGGTGAGCTGCTGGATGCCCAAGAGAACCTAAGTTTACTCAGGAATACAGCAACCTGTGGGATGGTCTTCCATTTTTAAATCAAGTTTCTGTTTGCCCTTACGCTACGACAGTTCAAAAATCACCGTAAGGACCAGAGGGAAAAGGAAAAAAAAAAAAACAACACAAAAACACAAGGCATCGGACAAGCAAACGATCCCGCTCGGCTCTTGGCGAAATCAGCATTCAACAGGCAAGTACGGCAAGTCGGGAGGACGGCCACAACGCCTCACGTACAAGTAATCTGAAACGTTTTGGTTTTCAAGTTACAAAAACTACGAGGTTTCAGAACACAGATACACACTTCACTTCTCAACATGCAAGGCCCAACGGAAGCCTTTTCGCGTGCCAAAAGCCCGAACCCGAGACACCGCGCCTCTCCTGCCGCCACGACGACCGGCTCTCGAAACCACACGTGAGGATTTCCTGAGGCACCTTTAGCTCTTAACGACGTGACCAAGGAAAGCAGAAAGGCGGACTAATTCCCTTCGAGTATTTGAGTATCGGCTAATTTCTGGCTGTAACCGACTACGCGTGTTTCCAGTTAACACCAGCCATTTCGGCGTTAAGCAGAGCTCTTTCGTAAGGACTTGAGGACACTTCACCCTCCAGCTTTGCTTCCCAGCCTCTTTCCCACACCGCAAATATCGCTAGGAAAAGGAACTTCTTGCTAAACCAGACTCCAAGGTAGAGCCAGGGACGCAGAAGCAGAGCCGGGGACACAAGCCCTCTACCGGGGCACCGCGTCCAGGACTCGCAGGAGCACTTCACCTTCACGTTCTGTTTGCTCTCAGCTGGAACAGCTCCAGCTGACGTGAGGGGAATTCAGAGCTGGCTTTAGAGAGGCACAAACCCCGTGAATCCGGGTCGATTCACGCACCACACCTCGCTCCTTCACAGCCTGCGCTACGCGCGAGCGCAGGAACACCAGGGACGCACGGGGCGCTCGCTTCACTCGGCGACTCCGGGTTTTTTAACCTCCGAGCCCACGCGTTCGTTTGTAGGGTGAGAAACGCAAAGGGGGAGTTAACTTACTCAGGGCTTCTTTCAGCGCCAAAATGGTTTCCTCGGGGTACACGTTTCTGTCCTCCCAGATTTTGAAGATCCTTTCGATCGATTTGGAAACGGAGGGATCCCTGGAACAGAAGAGCGCAGTGGGTTATCTCTACCCGCCCCCGCTGTAGTTTCTCCTGATTCTAGAACGGATAATCATGTAAATAATCACGTGTTTAAATCAAAACTCGGAAAGACCCTTCAGAGCAGGCAGTTCTCTGTCCAGGTGACGACTTTAGATCTCCTCAAGGGCTGCCCGTGAGACCAAGGCAGCAAATCCGCATGCTTGGAGTCAAGCAAACACACACAATTCCATACCGTAACGGATCAGGGCCCTTTTCTGGGTAAAATTAGAAGGTTTCAGAGCAGGAACACCTGTAGGATTTCTCTGAAGCCTTTCTTCACAGGGAAAAGATTTTTTTTTAGTGGCTTTTCCAAAGCAGCTTTCTATATGGATGCCCTGGGGAAAAAGTGGTTATTCCAGGGCATGGGGGGGAAAAAAAATAAACCATTATCTCTTCAGAGAGAAGAGTAACTACTTCAGAGACTGCACAGCAGGTGACCAGAGGGGCTGAACTTCATCAAGAAGCCGAGCTCTCCCGCTCATCTCTGATCACTGATCCCCTCTGTGCCCCGCACCCCTGCCCTCGGGGGGTGAGCAATGCCTCCTGTACGGCTCTCCGAAGGAAAAGGGATGGGCTGGTGTCAAAGAGCGTATCTTGTCCAGGTGCTGCTGTTTCAAGGGAAAAAAACCCCTGACAAATACAACATCGGTAAGCCACCGCTCTCAAAGCGTGTCCCCCCCAGACCCCCGAGTCACCCCGGGGGCGCAGACCCAAGGGACAGCTTGGGATGAGAGGGGGGAAAAAGGCGCAACCAGAGCAGCCGCCCCGCTGCTGACCGCCCGGCCGCAGGGCGCCTCCTGCACAGCGACCTCCCCTAAGGTC